TGGGTCTGACCAGGATAGTAAGACAATCATGGGGGTAGTGGGCCCTGGTGGAGGAGCTGACTGCCTTATCTGGGCCTCTTGGGTGACCAGGCAGCCTTGGAGAGCGTGGCTGCCTCACTCCCAGCTGAGCTCTGAGTTTCTGGAGGCTGGGGCTGGTGTATGGGAGTGACACTGGGTTTGCTGAAGTTAGAGCTGATCTAGCCTGCAGGTGTCACCTCATCTGCGTGACAGAGGAGGTGCAGGGGGAACAGTGAATGGACGACACAGGTCCTGAACTCAGACTGTTGCTGGCAGGGCCCCGATGCACTGGGCCAGGCCTCAGGGAGCCAGCAGAGAGGGGGCCCTGAAGCTGCCAGCTGGGGAGGGGCTGTCCGAGATGCTGGAGATGGAGCTACTTCCGGTTGGCCAGGCACTGGTGCTGCTGGGGCACCAGGAGGCTGGGTAAACCATTCCACACCATGTGGTCCTGTGGGGGTCCCGAGACTGCCACATGGGGAGGCAGAGGCACAGACAAGGTGAAGAGGTGGCAGTTTGGACAGGGTCTCTATCCAAGGGGGCCTGGTCAGACTGGCCACCCTCTCCCAGCCCAGTGTGAACACAGCAGGTGGATGGACAGAGTGCTTCAGCCTGCTTGGTTACCAGCAGGTGCCTGAGGCCCAGCATCGGGGGCAGGGCTGGCTGTACTGTGTGCTCAGTGATAGAATCCAGTGAGGGGAGGGTGGGGGCACTGGGAACTGGAGATTGTCTGTCATTGAGATAGCAGCGGGAACTCACCTGACCTGGCCCCCCACCCTGCCGTGACTAAGCACTATGCTCTAGCCACAGAGTTTTTCAACTTGTTATTTTCTTAAAGAAAAAGAAAAAAAATCCCACTGGATGCTTCATCACATCAAACAATAAAGGATTGGCTGTGGTCCAGGGTGGGGTGGGACTCTGGAATCCTATTCCAGGCATCCCCCTGCCCCAGCCTGGGTACCAGGGACCCAATGTCCTGCCCAGCCCCAGGCCTCTGTTCTCGTCCCCGCTGTGCCACGGGTCTCATGGTGCCGCTCCTGCCATCACTGTCCAGAGCTGACTCTGCAGTCCATTCCTCTTTGTCCATCCAGGTGGGGGCTGCCTGGCGTCCACCTGCCCCACCCCACCTCTCACTGTCCTTGTCTTCCTCAGAAGCAGACAGAGGAGGAAACGTGTGCCCACTCAGGAGCCACCCTGGTTGGGGTGCTTGTTAGTGTTGCTGCTGCTGCTGCTGGGGCCTCCACTTCCTTGTGTGTGAGCTGGGACAGTGGGATAACACCTCCTGGTTCACAGAGGCGGTGACAGTGAGGACTGCGAGAAATCACAGCGCAAGACTCCAGCACAGAACCCGGCGTGCAGAGAGGCAGTGTAATGAACCATCCTCCAACAGCATGCTACAACCACTGCCACAGCATCCCTAGTGCCATAGTCATCACTAGTATCATGGCATCACTAACGAGTACCATGGCCATTACTAGTGTCATGACCTTTGCTAGTACCACAGCTACAGCTAGTACCATGGCATCACTAGTGCTACAGCATCACTACTGCCATGGCCATTACTAGTGCCATGACATTACCAACTAGTCCTATAGCATCACTAGCTAGTACCATCACTAACTAGTACCACAGCCACAGCATTGCCAACTAGTGCCATGGCCATCAGTAGTACCACAGCTAGATTACCAGGGCAGCATTCAGGGTGGCCTGCTTTCCAATCCCCGTCTCTACCCCGCTTTCCAGGACTGTTCTGGGAGCCCAGGGCTAGGGACCAGGAGGAGCTCTGCCTCTTCCTGTTGGTTCCCTGGCCCTCTTCTCTCCACTGACGTGGGGCTCTCCTGCACTCAGAGTAGGGACCCTGTGCACAGCCATGAAGCCCCCATTTCCAGAACCAGGCGCTCTTCTACGATGGGCTTCTCCCGCACCCAGAACTAGGTCCTGTGAATCCCATAGGAGGCACGCATGGGCAGGGCGGGGTCCCAAGAGCGAGCATGCTTGTGCAGTCAGCGAGTGAGTGACAGGCACCAAGGAAGATTGGGACAGGGTTGCGGCTTACCACACAGCCTGGGTGTTACTGTGTTGAATACAGAAAGATGGCAGCAGCTGGAGGGAGCGTCCTTGTGGCCCTGAGGGCTCCTCCTCCCACTGCTCTGCCCACACCACCCTCCTCCAGAGCCCCTACAGGGTCAGGTCCTGCCTGCTTGCCTGCCCAAGCTAAGTCTGCACAGAAGACAGAGGAAGAGGCCAGACTTCCCCCTGGACTTCCCACCTTGTGTAAGCCACAGGACAATTCCTTCTTTGGCAAAGCCGCATTGAGCTCATTGTCTCCCAGACAGGGTCCTGAAGCCGAGACTGTCAAATCCAGAAAATATTCCAAGAACTCTCAGCTCCCTGTCTCTAAATAACTGAGCGGAGGCTTCACAGCAGATAAAACCAAGGCTGGGAGGGTGGAAGTACTTCGCCCGAGGTCAGCACTTGCACTCCTGGCCCCTTAGCAGCCCACTGAGTTCCCCACTCCAGGCCCCAGATCTGACCCAAGCCTGGGCCTTGGACTGTCAGTGTTAGAACTGAGCTGGGGTTCCTGTGGGGGCCGGCTGGTGGGCATTCTCCATTCCGCATATTTCACCTGCCACACTGGCCCCGTCTCCTCTCTGAGGCCGTTTGAGTCACATTAAGCTTGGCGTTGGCTCCCAGGTCTCATCCACCCCTACCCCCTCAGCCCAGCCCCACCAGCAAACTTGCCTTGGCTAGGTTATCTAGCCCAACTTCCCCAGGCCAGACTGCTCTTGGCCAGAGCCAGTGGCTCCCGAGGGTGACATAGGGTATCCTGTCCTTCCCTGGGCCTGTAGCCTCTGTCCTTTCTTTTTCCCTCCCCTCATCACTAACTAGTACCGCAGCCACAGCACTGCCAGCTAACTGAGCTCTAACCTGATGACACTCTTCCTGGATCTCCAGGGTCATCTCTCACTGGGGCTGAGCGGGCGCAATCTCCAAACATGGGCATGGAGGAGGGTCACCCAGAAGGCAGAGGAGGTCAAGAGCGGCAAAGAGCCACTGAGACCTCGGCAGTGCTAGGCTGGAAGGGGTGTGTGGACAGGGATTGGCAAGGGAGGAATGGGCACTGAGCAGGACCGTGGTGGAGGAGCAAAGGGACAGAGCAGGGACAAGGCAGCCATGGGTCAGTACCAGAGTCTGGCCTTCTCATGGAAGGGCCCAGCAACGTGGGGCCCTGGGAGCTAGGCGCATACCCTGTGGCCCAGGTAGCAGCTAACTTTTTTTGTTTTTTAAGGCTTTCAACGCTATCCATCAGTCACAGAGATCTGCCTGCATTAATCTGGCTGGAGAGTGGCAGGCTAATGGCCACGGGATCCTCAGCATGAGCAGGACGTCCCCTCACCCCCATTCCCCACAGCAGAACATGGCTGGCGGGTTGGGACTGTTGGAATAGCCAACCTGGGTCTGTATCTGGAGCTGGTAAACCTGGACCCTGTGATTAGTGCCTGGGGCCAAATATTTATCTAAATAGGAGGACCAGACAGGGCGAGGCCAGAGTCTGCTGTTGAGCCCAGCTGTGCAGCCTCCTGCACCCTGCGTACTCTATGGCCACACTCCAGTGTGGCACTGGAATGCTGAGCTCCCTGACCAGGTGCTGTACTGGGCATAGGGCAAACACAGGGGACAGATCCAGTGACCCACCTGGAGTGGCCCTGCTCCTGCTAGGGAGTGGTCATGTACTGTTCAACTGCTGGGGACTTGGTTTTTTTTTTTTTGGTGGAAGAGGAGGGAGAGTTTCTTAATCTGAGGTTCCTGGCTTGGCCTCACAGGCATCTGCTCTCTCTACCTCGCTCTCCCCAGAGCCAGGGCCCACACTCGCCTGAGCTCTCCTGATCCCCAATCACAGGCAGAGGGCAGTCGGCATCCTTGCCTCCTCATGGGCCAACGGGTATCATCATGACAGTTGGGTGTGCATGAACCCTTCTGCCAGGGCCTGGGGGACCTCCTCAGGCTGGGAGCCCAGCAGAGCTGATGTCCACCCAATGGACACACATAGCCATTTTCAACCACTAGGCTACACGCACAGCTTCCTCTCTCCCCAGCATCCACACGAATCCAAATCCAACAGCAGCAGGATGAACAAGAAACCACTAACTCTTGGCCCAGCTCAGCCCGTGTGCTAGGCCACCACAGAAGGGAAAGCCGTCCCAGCCTTTGCTGCTGACACCCGAGGGCAGACACACACTGGGGGCATGTGGGCACGGTCCACGTCCAGTGGTGCCCATGGCCAGGGCCAGGATACAAGAGATGTATTTCTCCTTTGCCACAGGGGGAACAGCCATGCAGAGGCCACCTGCCTCCCACATGTGAAGTCACCCCTTGGAACCTGGGCTTTGTTTCCCCTTCTGCTGATAATGAACTCATTTTAGTTTCCTCTCTGGAAATCTCATTGCCCGCTGGCAGCTCTGGAACCCATCCTCAGGGCAGCACATGTGGGGTGTCCGAGGCCCTGCCCATCATGGCCCATCTTTCCGTTGCTCTGTCCAACCCCACGGCTCCTTGGCTCCCAGCTGTCCCAAGCCCTGGACATCCCTAGTCCCAGGCTAGCTGTGCAGGGGAAAAGGACCCGGCAGCCACAGGAGCTGCGCAGCAGCCCCCCAGAGAGATTCCTTTGTGGGGGCTGCACAGGTGGACTCCTAATTCAACACTATGGTCTAGCAGGGGGCAGCAGGAGCCCCTCCTGGTCCTGCCTCTTAGACCAGAGCCTCCCAGAGCCAGGGGGTGGGAGCTGAGCTTTACGATGCAGCAGGCAGACCCTCCAGGCCTACCCCGAAACACATCCCCGACTTGGCCCCCTTCCCAGCATTCTCTATAGGTGGCTTGGATCTGACCATGCCTGCAATGAGGCTCCCTCCCCGGGCCTACCCTGGAACTCCCAGCACAGGGTATCGTGGTAGCTTGCACCTCAGGCTCGAGTCTCCTGCTCTTACCTTCCACAGGCGAGGTCTTGAGGCGGCGACACAGGGCTTCCGTGTCCCCATACGTCTCCTTGACCTTGACTACGGCTTCTGTGCCTCGTAGCTCCATGAGGGAGCGGAGTTCCTCCATCGTGCACCCGAACTCGCCCCCATGGCTCGACTCATTTCTTTGGTTTTTGGAGTAGAAGTCGCTGTTGGTCATGTCACCCATGTCTGCCGAAGTCTCTTCCCGGGCGGACCCGAGGGTCAGCGCTGGACAGGGCAGCCGCGTGGGACTCTCTTCCACGTACCTTCACTGGCCAGCGGGGTTTCTGGGAGGTTGGGTGGCCGAGGCAGGCTGGCAACTGCGGCACAGAACACCACCAAGGGCTGATGCTGGGTGTGGGATGAGGTTTGGGGGCTGGAGGGGTTCAGGGCTGTAGACCCACAAGTCTCCATCCAGTGGGGCCCATGCTGCTGCCCAGAGCTGGCATCTACATGGTCAGCAGTGGCGGCTCCTGTGGGGACAACACAGACAGGTGCCCGAGAACACCAGGGTGACACATAGACCCAGACACTGGCAGCCCTGCCCGGCACATTAGCATGCACAGCAATCCAGATGTCACTGGTGCCCACCTGGGTGCCCACAGAGTTTCTTCTCCAAGGCACAGTCTCACAACACACCTGCCCTGACCTGTTTATGTCATAGCACACACCTGTGCACACCGCAGTGGTTCTGGGTCCACTCACTCCCCTTCCCTCCCAGACCCCTACTATGTACTCCACACCTGCATAGCCCACTTCCTCTGACTGTCCCCAACATGCACACACACATAGCACAGTGATGCTGCCATCTCCCAAGCACACAGCCTGCCCCTCACCAACTCCACACACAGCCCCTCCCTTGCCCATGCCTGCCCACACTCTCTTTCCCTTGTTCCTTCCACACTCAGTCTCCCAGGCAGGGCTTGCGAGAAAGAGAAAGAGCCCCCTCCTCCACCCGCAGCTTGACCAGAGCAGCCAGCTCATGCATACTCATGAGGACCCCTTAAATACAGGTCCTCCTTGGAGCCCTCACCTTTGCGGGGGAGGGGGCACAGACCAGCACCAGAGACAGCGGTCACTGTGTCTGGGAGCCCCTGCCTGCCCTGCCCGCCTGCCCGCCGCCCTTGCCGGGTGCAGCACCTATGGGACTGCCAGGGAGAATTCAATCCGCCCGGACACCCAACACCGGTGGCCGAGGCCCCGGCAAGCGTTGGGTGACAAAGGGCCCCTCCTGAGCTCGGCTGGGCCTGGCACGGGGACTGGTCCTGCCCAGTGTCCTTGGGTGGTTGGCCATCCTGGGCTGGCCGAGGGCAGTGAGGGACTGGAGAGGAACAAGGGACGGGTCCCCCATCCCAGCCCACCTCCCCCTTCCCCCTTTGCTCTCTCCTTTGCTTGCCATCTGGCTTCTTCCATGAATCTCAGAGTTGGAGACATTCTAGAGTTAACTTGTCTTCCTGGTGAGGAACTTGGGACACAGAGAGGGACAGTGTCTGGTCCAGGACTCGCCCCCTTCCCTGAAGGGTCTGGCTGGCAGGGCTAAGAGGGAGGATGTAGATCTAGTTGCACCGAAGCTGTGGGCTGTAGGCAAGCCCCTTTCATGCCACTGTCTCATGGCTCCATCTGTCAATCATGCTGCAGTCTGCGTCCCCCACCCCTACCCTGCTGGGGTGGAGGGAGCCCATCCCGCTGCACAAAAGGGACTGTTGCTCAAGGATGCCAGTGGGACACACACGGACAGGCATGCTGCCTCCACAAGGGACCCAGAGCATCCCAGAAACTGCCAGCAGCCCCACTTCTGACCCTACCTATGCGCTCCTGCTCCCTCTCCCCTGTTCCCCCACCCTGTCCTCAAGACAGGAACACAGACTCCAGAGGGGATTCAGTCAGTGAGGCATGGCAAAGGGGGTCTGCGGAGGCGGACACTGGGTACATGGAGTGTACGCAGGGTCCGTGGGGGCTAGGAGCTGTGCCGGCTCCCAGGATGAGGCGCCTGACAGAGCTGCCCAGTGACAGGCAGGCAGCATGCCACTGAGCACCAGGATGCTGTGGGGTGGACGTTGTGGCTGGACCCACTTCATACACAGAATGTGGCCCACAGGGATGATGCCACTTGCTGCAGAGCACAAGTGAGGAAGAGTCAGGGGATAATTGATACCTTGGACAGTTACCCACTACCCATAGGAAAGGACTGGCTGGGTCCAGGCCAGGAATCTGGGTCCTTCTGGGGGCGAGTGTGGCTGTGTGGCACTTGGGACCAGTGCCTGCCTCTCTCCCTTCCTTCAGCTGAGAGCTATCAGCAGCTGCCAGAGGTGCAGGAAAAGTCTCAGAACTTGAGCTCTGGGCTTTGGGCAGGAGAGGCTTGGTTCTGGCAATGCATGCTCTGCTACCTGCCCAGGACCACAATGTTCTGTGGAAGTATAGGACCTGGACACAGCGACACCGACACACACACACACACACACACACACACACACACACACACACACACACACACACACAGTGTGTGACAAGGGTGGAGCAGCAGCCGGGAGGCTAAGCTCCTTCAGACCGGCCTGGTAGCCTGGGGCCTTGCTCATGGCTAGGGCTGAGTGCACAGAAGAAGGTGGACGGACCACCCTCCCCACCCCACCCTGTGAGAGGGGCTGGAGGCCATCTGGCAGGGAACCTTCTAGAATAGGCACTGCCATCTTAGAGATGGAGGGTACAAAGGAGGCTTGCCCCTTCCATCTAGTCCAAACTCAGGACTGACGTGGGGCCCAGGAGGTCTTGGTGACCAGCAACTGAGCCTCAAGTGTGGGCCAGGTGAATGTCAGGAATGTGACCATCTACCATCCACCTCACCATGAGGCCAGGCAAGTTACTTCCTGTGAAACATAGAGAATCATGTTGCTGACACTGGGTCATCATGGTGAATACACAGCTGCTTTAAGAACCAGTACATTTATCCCCATGGAGCATGGGAGCAAACTGAGGCTCACAGAGGGCATGGTCGGTGGCCAGGCCCTCCCCGCCTCCCCACTGGCTCCACAGTGGTAGAACTGAGATGAGAATCTCGGCAGGTGCATTCCTCCTAGATCACCTGCCACCTCTCCTGGGGATCCTGCACCCTGCTGCTATGAGGTGGCTTACAGCAAGCAGCACAGGGGAATGACAGCACACTGCTGGCCACCAGGGACTCCGTCCACCTGTGGTGTGGTTCACAGGCACTAATGATTTACCTCCCCGACCTTTGGAGCTGAGCCTGCTTCACAGCCACTAGATCTGTGATCAAACAGCAGGCACAAGTTCACTGGCCACCAAGGAACTGAACGACCACTGTGTTGGGATCAACAGCAATCTCGTTCACCCATCTGGCCACACACCTGCCTACCTCTCTGTCCAACCATGTGCCCACTCATCCTGTCACAAGGTTCCAGACACCTGTTTGGTCCCTGCCTTTCAGTTGCTGACAGCGGAGGTCAGGGGACAATTAGATGAGGATTCTCCTGATCTGGTGGGTTTGCTGCGATAGGGAGTTAGTCCCAGGAGCTGACAGGCAAGGCTTTTCCTCCCATAGGACTTGTCCTGCCGTCTTGCCAGATGGCACAGGCAGAGACATAAATGCCTGGCAGGGAGTGGGGGTGGGGTGGGGAGGAGGCCACTTCAAAACTGTGTGACCCTACAGTGGCCGTCTAACCTCATTGGGCCCCAGCCTGGGGAGTGAAGAGGACCCTGCCTGACTCAGGCCCCTGCAAGGCCCCGGGCAGACCTAGCTCCAGCAAGGATGGCTGTCCCGACTTCGCAGTGTGGCCTTGGCTGACCTCTTTACTCGCTTACAGGGCAGGGATTCAGGAACAGGACACGGGTGGGTGTGCCTGCAAGGAGGCAGGCGGGTAGATGCAGGCACAGCCCTTTCCTGGGAGTTAAGTTAACAAAGACGGAAATCTATCCTTTGAAGGAAGAATTAAAAAAAAAAAAAAACCCCACAAAACAAGCCAAATCAACAGCTTTCTGAATCTTAACGGAGGGATGGTGGCGGGGACAGTGGCAAAGGATGTGCTAAAAATAGCTCCCGGAGGCCGGATCCTCCTACTTGAAGATGCATGGAGCCTGGAGCCTCCTGAAGACGGGGGTTTCCAGGCCACTTTCCCTAGGGACTCATCCCAGCAGCAGCAGCTGAGGCTGAGGGGCCCTGGCACTTCTGGTGTGCCCTGGGCAGGGCTCTGAGCCCCATCTACACCTCAGTTCCCCCTTCCCACAGGGCTGTGTGAAGGAGCAAGGATACAAGCTCGGCTCAGTTCATGGCGGCAGGAGGGCTTGGGAACTGAGTCACCGCTGGGTCCAGCAGTGCTGGCTGTGAACAAAATCAGGTCTGACCCGGGCAGGCACTTCTCACTCAAGGCTGCCTCCTCCCTGTGGGCTGATGCTAACTTGGCTTTCTGCATGCACTGGGATAGGGGGTGGGGGGCTGCTTTAGTCCCTTCCACAGCTGCAGATTCCTTTCAGTGGGGGTCTAGAGTCTCCAGAACCTGACCATAGCACAGTCTCACTCACACATGAGGAAGATAGAGGGCTTGATAAAGAGAGTGTAGGGGGAGGCAGCCAAGTCTGCATGGTGTGCAGGGTGAGAGTGTGTAGGGCATGTGTGCATGCAGTAAATGTGGGTATATAGGGTGTGTGTGTGCGCAGGGCATGTATGGGTGTGGGTATTTTGGGTGTGTGTGTATAGGATGAGGGTGTGCAGAGATGTGTGTGAGTACGTGTAGTGAGTGTGGGTTTGTAGGCCATGTGTATGTGTGTAGGGTGAGGGTATGCAGGGGGTGTGTGTAAATGCTTTCTGATGTCCATGCTGTCAGCAGGAGGGCACAGGGTCTGGGACTCACTTAGTTAGGAGCAGTGTGAAAGGCTGTGTGAGTGTATGTGACAGGTCCCCGTGGGGGGAGTGGCCCCAGAGAGCAAGGTACACAGGGGGTCTGCTGGACTTGGTGGGCTGCAGCGTGAGTGTGCCCGGCAACATGTGTGCTGATGACTGTCCCTGCCCCATCTTCTCCCAGGGAGAGTGGGGAGAGGAAGCTGGAGCCTCAGAAGCAAGTAGAGTGCTATTTTTAGCCAGCTCCTATCTGCTAACCAGAAAAGGAAAATCTAAAAAAATCCCCCAGAAACAGCCCTGCGCGAGCTGCGAAGGCACAGGTGGCAGAAGCAGGGCTGGGTACAGTAAGGGGCCTTGGCCAGGGCTTCTCGCACAGTTTCTCAGCTCCACGCA